TATTTTCTTTATTTTAGGATATAGGTACAATAACATAGGATTATGCTATCATCTCTGGCAAGTAAAAGCATATTTTTGTTCTCACACGTTTTTGTTCACCAGACAAGAGGTTTGACAGAATGATTTGGGTTTTATAAAGCCAAGGTGCACACAATTTCTGTGTGAACACCCCTTACCCCCTGAACTGGGACGCGGTCAACGCCATGACCTACCCAAGTTTGAGGTCAATCGTTAAGATCTGCCTGTCAGTAAATATTTGTTATCGTTCATTGCTCCAAACCATTCAGAGCAAGGAGTTAGTATCATTAGGCTTCAGCCTTATTAGCTCTACAGCAAACTCTGTCTAGGCAGGGATAATCCTTGGTATAGGTAGACCTATCACAAGGGGGTAAGCAGAGAAGTTGCTAGAGCCATCTTCACCACTACCGCCACCACCATCACCATCATCATTATCATCATCATCAATTCATCATCATTTCAGTTTCATATTCACTCGAGAGTCTAGAGTAAATTAGCGCAGGGGACATACGGGGGTGGGGGAGTTGGGGATGTCGCGCTTCCGATCACTCTCCAACACCCAGCACCCTCCTCCGTAAGACACCAGTGAGTTTACCCCCCCCCCCCCCCCTTTCCCCTTCCCCCTTCCATGATTGGACCCACATTCTGCCTATAGTCATGTCGAGGAGTTGGCGGTTTTGCGTGTGTAAACTGTATGGTCGAGACTCGAGAGAGCAGAACTAGGCAGCTGATACATTGATTATCATTAACTTGATAACAGCGTGCAAGATTCCATACATTTTTCTTTTCGACATGCATTATCATGTCTACAACGATGTCGTAGTCTAATACCCGCCATCCATTCGAACATATTCATACTCGATTACAGGTTCGGGAAGTATATGCATCAGCATGGACCTAGTACATCAGTATCACTCTTTTCCCTTGCCCAGGATTGCCTAGGGAGTCAAGAAAACCATTTTCCGGTTGATTTATTGAATACATGTATGCACAGGTTAAACAAGAGGCCATGACCGCGGTCATCAAACCAAGAGTAGTGAAACATTAACCCAGAAGTTTTCTAAAAAATTTGAAATACATTTTCAAATTGAGATCCCATGACAGATGGGCTTTATGATGAGTTAATATGATGGATAAGCATTGTATCACTTAATACAGCATTTTGATAATGTATTCAAATGATTTTATTCACATTTATCTCGCAAGGAGCTATCATTTACTTGTTATATCTTACTGTATTTCAACAGTAAGAATGCGGTATGACCAGGGAGTTGATAGGGACGAACAGTAAATCCTGCACTATAACACGTAATGTATGCAATCTGCATTGTGACTATTGAAATAAAATCATTAGTAACAGGTGAATGAAATATTTAGTATCTGAAAGACGTTTGCATTCAATTTTATGCATTCCGAAAATGGCGTAGTTGACTAATAAGTTCATCAGGGCCCAAATCAATCGTAAGTCCTCCAATCAATCGCAAGTATACAGTCTCCTATCTCTTTTGTTTATAATTGCGATTGATATAAACTCTTTAATATAAGACGGGGCCCTGTTGTGCATAATGGTATCTCTACGGATGGAATTCACTTTGCATACATTATTTGTTGCTTTACATGGCAAGCGATGGCAAGGCTCTAGCTGGCAAGCTTTTAGGCTGTAAAGATAACTTTTGTTAAAAAACATGCATATTAAATTAGTAAACATGCATATCTATCGGTGTAGGTTTTATACGAGAACGACAATTGAGACCTGAACATGTTTAACCGGCTCTGTCTCATTCAGCTCTTTTGTTTGTCTTGATACAGAGGTTTAAAGTCCAAGCAAACATTATAGTACTTTGTACCGTCAATGGTATTTTTAATTTGTTTGTATAACCTGTTCGTGTGCCGCATAATGACGTGCGTCTCGTTTCAGTGTACAATACAGGCCTACTTCCTAAGTTCCTAGGCGAATAAGCGTGGACAATAATTTAAAACAACCATGGCCCGGGGTATATAGAACGGCCAGGACAAAAGGTATATCAAGAACAGAATTAGGAAATTATATCTTCCTAAATATGTGGTTCCAAGAGGATTGTTTTGTATGGCCAAATTAATTGAATTCCCAGTTAAATTGTTCATCCCTCCTTCTCTTTTTGTTTGTATGTTTTTATTTTAAATGAAATAAATAATAATCTGAGGACATCTAGACAATGCCTTTTGCAGTTTTATCTTGTCTTGAACCTCTGTGGTGCATTTAGTCAATAAAAACGAATTAAATATACTGTTACATTTGACCCATGCAAATAAAACGGACCCCTCCTCATCATTTATACAGAAAATCAGACAAGAACTAGGAATACATTTTACTCGGCCGGATAACTGCCATCACATAGTCATGACGATTACACAGTCATTGAAAATGTACCTAGAAAATTATGATCAAACCATACATGAGAAGTGTATTCAAATATATTCGACTATACACGCTAGTGTCTGTACTCTATAGCGAAGAGATATTAACATTTATCTGTTTTATATCGCTTCATTTCAATAGTCAGAATGTAAACTGCGGTTGTTAAGTAAAAAGAAGATACCAACGAATATATGCAATTTGTATTCTAACTATTGAATAACAAATTATTCGCAACAAATCGTACTTGAGCATGTATGCTATAGTTGGAAACGAAATTATTGATTGCTTACTAAAGCAATACATTTTAAATGTTAAGAGGTCATTGTATTGTACAAGAGATTTCAAATGCAAGCTTATACTTACTCGTATGCTACACTACACAGATCGGAGACTTTGGCCGAGATGTAAAATGTACATGATAGTAAACCAAGCGATGCTATGCCAATGCAGGGAGATCTACCAGGCCAATGTTTACCCGGGAAGCTCACGTGTGTACGTCTGAACGGAGTAGCAGCAAGAGAGTCAATGGGGTTAAAGTGCGCAGTTTGCGAAGGCTGTCTTCAAAGAGGGCATCTATACTACTTATACTATATACATTGGATACCAGATTTGGTGTACTCAACGCCCTCGGCACCCCTGCTCCCCTCTCTTTCTCTTCCTCTCTCACTCTCTCTCTCTCTCTCTCTCTCTCTCTCTCTCTCTCCAGTCTCTCCCCAGTCTCTCTCTTTCCCTCTCTCTCTCCCTTTCCCCCTCTCCCTACCCTCTCTATTTTCTCAACCATTTACCCATTCGATAGCAGACACGTGCCCCAAAATGCTCCATGTTGATACACCACAGACCACAATTATATATATATATATATATATATTTTAAAAAATGGCCTAAACCCCAAAGGGGCGACCCTGTCCTCAACAAATCATCTCATTATTAACAGTCACTGTGGTACATTCATTTACCATTTTCTTTATCGCCACGTATTTCCTCTAAGTCACATTTTTGCGCAGATCAATGAACACATCCATGAAGATTCATTCGAGAACCAACTCCTGTCTTCTTATATAGAGAACCCTTGGGTTAAAATAAATAAATAAAAATGATGATAATAATAATAATTTGTATTAAGTATTTGGGGTCACATATGCTGGGAGGCGAAAAGCGAACTGAATCACACTGGGTCTCTCCTCCCAGTATAACTAATTGGCGGTGTCCATGGGGGGGGGGGGGTGTTTCATAAAGCTGTTCGTAAAGTTACGCATGACTATTTACGAACGAATTGTATATGAAGTGCCAGATAGGATGCCTAAAGTTTTTCCTGATGTTTTAACAAAGTGTGACTATTTTTCCAATAACCTCAATTAAATTATGGCAAAAAAAATACTTTGCATTAAAAATGTTTGTAATAATAAGAATGTCAATCTACAACAGCACAGTTCAACTTAGTTAATGCATTTGGCTTTTCATATTTAAGTCATTCGTAAAGTCATGCGTAACTTTACGAACAGCTTTATGTAACACCCCCATGTGGACCACTGCACCGGGGTTTCCCCCTACTCTTATACGAACATTGCAGTGGGTTCTTAACGTGCACGTGACTCTCCTCTACACGGGGCCTCCATTTAATGTCCTATCCGAAGGACGGAGTTTACAGCAAAAGGGCACTAATATAGCACCGTCGACACGGTTTTGATCCTGGGGCCTCACAGTTACGAGGCCATTGCTTTTCCTCGTGATATATTAGTGCTCTTTTGTGGGGCATTAATCCTCATTACTGTCATTTATGACTTAAGGGCGTAGGTCCCCTAGTTGATAAGCATAGTAGCATACACATGCTTTAGCAGTCACGCAAAACAAACACTGGCAAATTATTATTTAATAAAACCTGAGAATGTATACTATTATTTAGATCTGTTTGGAATAAATCATTGTCAAAATAATTCCATAAATTGGGTTTAAAAAAATATTCCAACTTTATGAGCAACAGTGTATGTGCAAAGGCAATAAACGACCCGTTGAAAAACGAAAGTATGGAACGTGATGTATTTTTCTTTCTTTTTAATACTATATTAGTCTCGATAATCATTAACAGATATTGAATCTAAAGTGGACTTGATCCAGCGTGCTTAACCATGGTAACATACTATTAGCGGATCCAGGATTGCGACAAAACCGTTAAAGGAGGAGGGGGGGGGGGGCTTTTTTTTAACCCACGAAGGCACCTGTAAATTAGATATCGCCTAGGTGGATCCGCTCCCATGATATCAATGCCATCGCGTGACTAATGACCGCTCATGGCGGTCGGTACTGTACTCGAAAAAGAAGAAAACTTATTGTAAGTTGTTTTTATATAAAGCTTCTTCCAGTCAACCCCAACCCTCCCCCTCCCAAAAAAATAAAAATAAAAGTAATAATAATAATAAAAATAATAATATATATATTATCTGGTACGTTTTGTATTGCACGTCTAACTCATTACTTTAAACTTATGCTAATTGTAAACGATTTATCCGACACAAAATTGAATCAAACTTATTGATGTCTTCGTAGATTTTGGTTGTGTGTCTTAATGTAGCATTCCTTCGAGTTTTCCCATTTCTTGATAATTGATGAGGATGAGGAGGATAAGAATGATGATGATTATCATTATCAATATTATTATCATCATAATTTTTATGGTTATCATCATTCATCATCATCATCATAATATTTTTTTTATTATCATTATTATTATCATTACTATTTTTGTTGTGATTGTTATCATCACCATTCCCATTATCATCATCACCATTGGTTAGTATTAGGCTATCATTATTTCCTGGGGTACAGTAATTAGGTTATCGGTCTCTGAGGTGATAGGTCGTCTGGTCAGGATACGCATATACCCGGATGTAGTTGACCTGAAGAGCTGCGTCCTCGCCATTGTTGACCCCCTGGTTCCAGGTCGGTAGCCAGTCGCTGTGAGCATTCCAAAAGTCCGTCGACGCCGTCGGCGAGGTGTTCAACCAGGGCTTCGAGGGAGTGTTCGTGAAGCCGTCCGAGAAGTAGTTGGTGCCGCCCACAGCAACGTTCAGGATCAAGTAGAACTGAATTTTACATTATATATTGTTAAGAATCTCAATAATAATCACCAGGCGCGGATCCAAGGGGGGGGGGGTGGGGAGGGGGAGGGCTAGCGGGCCTTGCCCCCTCTCCCTGGCCAAAAAAAAAAAGACGGGCCCCACACAAAATAAAGTATAAAGTTGCTCAAGGGGGGGGGGGGGGGGAACGTGGCATGAAAATCATCTGCATTTTCTAAATAGGGCTTTTTTTGGTCAGTTTCAAGATTACGAACCATTTTCTATTAGGAATTATGAGCCGTATTCTATCTTTTCTTTCCCTCTGGATTACAAGGCTTCAGACTCACGAAACTCTGGAAAAAACGGAACTACCTTGGATGACAAAATCTTGGGATTAATGGACTTTTGGATACATGATTATTCGAACCAGTAGGCCCTAACGTATTTTCGGAAAACAAATATGACCTTCATTTTCTTTTCGGAAGTATGAGCCCTATTCTACTTTCAGAATTAAAAGGCTCTAGAAATTCACACTTTTGAAATAACGAAACTTCAGATAAATGAAACATTCAATTAAAAAAAATATATTTAGATTTATAGTAAATCCTCGAAATGGTAAACTTTCGGACTAACACATTTTTGAAACAGGAACGAATCATCGGAAAAGTGACCTCCCATCCTTTTTTCAGTGGGGATTTCCCCTTGGCCATGTTGTTAGCTCATGCATGTACTCACCTCTCTATCAAATGGAGCCAGTTTGTTGGGTGAGTTTTCCCATGGGTTTTGGACACCTGGAGCCTTCGACGCAAACTCTCCATAGTCCCAGAAGCCGTCTGCGCCTGGGTCTGCTGTCAGAAGAAGTTCTCCATCAACATAGAATCTAGAGAGGACAGGTGATAGTGAATAAGAAAATACTACTGACAGGTTATGCAGGTAACAATTCTATTGGTTAGGTTCTGGGAAAGTGAACGATAATTTGTGAAATTGTTCATTTTTTTTTGTGTTGGCGTTGAAGATCATAAGGTAAATTGTTGCCTACGAGGAATAATGGCTTTTGAAATGCCCTCACCAAAAGTCAATCGTAGGATAAGTTGCTCAGCGTTGCTTGCGGGGCCAAGACCCCTTCTTTCTTATTGAACCAAATGCAGAAAAAAAAACTTTAAACAAAGATGTACTAGCTTGATATCCTGAAGGATACAACTAAATGGATAGTTAATTCATAGTCTTTTTAAATATCGGTGTTTCCTTTCAGTACAATTAATCGTGGAAAAGTAAATATTTATCTATCAATCTCGCAAAAGCTAGATACAACCAATAAAAACTAATTAAATTGTTCTGTAAATCATGGACGAGGAGAAGGACAACGTTAATCTTATTCAACTTTCATTTTGAAGAAGAAATCTTGTGACAATTCGCGACTTGGCATTTTAGAAGAAAACAACTCACTTCATGTTATCTGAGGTCCAGTCAAGTTCATACTTATGGAAGCCAGAGCCAAAGGTCTGCCCGTCCAGATTTCTGGAAAAGTTTGGAAAAGAATTAGAATCCGAAATCAAGATAGATGGTATTCATCGTCATCATCGTCGCCATCTGGCTTCATCGGCGTCGTCGTCATAATCCTCATTTTTGTTCTAGGGGTCATGACTGACCCTTTGTTGTTGATGGTTCTCCATCCGTTTTTTTATATTTTTGTTTTTTACAGATGGTTGTTACCGTTTTACTGTTGAAAGAAGTCTTTAAGTGTACAACGGGGCATAACACTCCACAACTCCTCTGTAAAATGAATACTCAAATTTTTAGTTGGTAAACCATCAACAATTTAGAATTGCAATAGAATATAGCTATAGGTTATTTCGTACCCTCATGGAAAAGGGACATCTTTCTCTTTATGCGACCATTGACTAAATGTTGATAAGGTTAATACAAGTTGGTTCATTTTCAGAAGAAATAAGTGACATCCATATACATTTGCCACTCTCTACCCAGGTGTTAAATGGTTACCGGAAACTAGGAATTCCTTGAATGGTTTGAGCGCCGAAATTAATAGCCTAGCTAAAGACAGGAACATGATCGTAACTACTTTCGAAAAATCAATTCAAGGGGAATTTCAATTCATTTATTGTACTATAAATCATGTTCGGCTTACGTAATACGTCTAAGTAAAGTTCATACATTTCAATCGGTAATGGACAAGGCTATTAAAATTGCCTCACGGTGATATTTTTCCCCCCAAAGTAGTTGCTATCGTGTTTAAATTAATACTGGAGCGCCTTGAGCACCTAGCGTGGTAGATATGAAAATTTATATAGAAATATCCAATATTATAATTATCATGATTAAATTGAGAAAATATATGTTTTTAAGGACACTTTGCACGTAACCGCCCTCATATGATTGATTAATTTCAATGATTACTTGGTGTTGTGTGTCTTTTCGTAGGCATTGTAATTCCACAAAGGACCCCAATGCATGGTTGATCCCATCTGATCCACACCAACAGAAACACCATTAGAGTCCTTCAGATCCGTGTTGCCTGGAGGAGTAGGAAGGGGGTTAGAGTCAGGCACGGATCCAGGGGGGGCCGAGCGGGCCTTGGCCCCCCCCCCCCGCAAAAAAAAAAAAAAAAAAAAAAAAGAGAGAGAAGAAAGGAAAAGAAGGGAAAGGGAAAGGGAAAGAAAGAAGAAGAAGAATAAAAGAAAAGAGGGAAGAAGGAGATCGGGGGGGGGGGACCGAAAGGGCCTTTCCTCCCAGGCTGTTGACCCCCCCCCCCCCCCCCCCCTCCAATCAAAAAAATAAGAGAGAAGGAAGGAAAGGGAAAGAAAAAAGGAAAAGAGGAGATACTGGCGTACTAATGGGGGGGGGGGGGGCTTTGGGGAAATCAAATTCAAACGTGGTTTATTTATAATTCCACAACGGTGGATTACAAATAATGCTGAAATGACATAATTTCCGAGATTTGTCCTCACTTTTTAGTAAATTATACGTTTGTATATGTGTTTGTTGGAAAATGACAAATTCCTAAATTTACAGCCAGGCACGAAATATGATTCTTGAGATTTCTACATGTCAGGGCCCGAGGTTCGGCAGGGATCGGGAGCCTCGAGCTCCCTCCCCCCCCCCCCCCCCCACTTTATTTGAAAAAGTATATTAAAGAGAAAAAAAATAGAATGAGCGCAAGAAAGAACGAATAGTTAACTGCCAGTGTTAAAAAATGAGTCATCAAAATATGCTCATCTGACCGTGATTAAATGCCTAAAACCCTTAAGCTTCCGGGGCTCTGCCCCCTGGATTTCACCTAGGGCGCTACGGCGGGCCCTTAGATGCTCATCTGACGGTAATTTAATGCCTAAAACCCCGCTTTTGGGGGGATCCGCCCCCTGGACCCCACGCCAAATAGTGACCTGCCAGTGTCACAAAATAATAGGTATTAAAAAAAAATGATCATCTGACCTTAATTAAACGCCTAAAACCCCTGAGCTTCCGGAGCCGGACAAGTTATCAAAATGTGTTTATCTGACCGCAGGCGCGTAGCCAGCCGGGGGGGGGGGGGGGGGGGGGGGGGTCCCCCAAATCGGAAGAGGACGTAGAAAGTAAAAGGAGCAGACAAAGAAAATCTTTGAAATTCAGACAAGGATTAAGAGTATAGAGAACGGTACAACGTATCGTCTTCTTTCTCTAATAATTTAATGAAACGTCAAAGCTTCGCGCAGGAGGGGAGGGGGGGGGGGGCTGAATTCAGACAAGGATTAAGAATCGAGAACGGTACAGTGAATCGTCTTCTTTCTCTCATAATCTTATGAAACGTCAAAGCTTTTGCGCGGGAGGGGGGAACCTGAATTCAGACGAGGATTCAGAGGCGAGAACGGTAATAATAATCTTTAATGAAACGTAAAAGCTTCCGCGTTTTGCGCGAGGTTGGAGGGGGAACTAAATTCCGACGAGGATTATTTTCGAGAACGGTACAACGAATCTTCTTTTTTCTCTATTGATTTAATGAAAATTAAAATCTTCCGCGCGGGGGGGAACCTGAATTCAGACGAGGATTAAGATTCGAGAACTGTACAGCCAATCGTCTTCTTTCTCTCATAATCTTATGAAACTTAAAAGCTTCCGCGCTTCGCGCGGGAGGGGAGGGGGGAACCTGAATTCTGACGAGGATTAAGAGTCGAGAACCCTACAACGAATCGTATTCTTTCTTTAATAGTTTAATGAAACGTAAAAGCTTCCGGGAGGGGAAAAACTAAATTCAGATGAAGATTTTGAGTCGAGAACGGTACAACGAATCGTCTTCTTTCTCTCATAATCTTATGAAACTTAAAAGCTTCCGCGCTTCGCGCGGAAGGAGGGGGGGGGGGGAACCTGAATTCAGACGAGGATTAAGAGTCGAGAACGGTACAACGAATCGTCTTCTTTCTCTAATGATTTAATAAAACGTAAAATTTTCCGCGCTTTGCGCGGGATGGGGAAAAACTAAATTCAGACGCGGATTAAGAGTCGAGAACGGTACAACGAATCGTCTTCTTTCTTTAATAGTTTAATGAAGCGTCAAAGCTTCCGCGCTTCGCGCAGGAGGGGGAGAAGGGCTGAATTTAGACAAGGATTAAGAGTCGAGAACTCTACAATGAATCGTCTTCTTTCGCTAATAATTTAATAAAACGTGAAAGCTTCCGCGCTTCGCGCAGGACGGGGGGGGGGGCTGAATTACGACAAGGATTAAGAGTCGAGAACTCTACAACGAATCGTCTTCTTTCTCTAATAATTTAATAAATCGTAAAATTTTTCGCGCTTCGCGCGGGAGCGGAAAAAACTAAATTCAGACGAAGATTTTGAGTCGAGAACGGTACAACGAATCGTCTTCTTTCTCTAATAATTTAATGAAACGTCAAAGCTTCCGCGTTTCGTGGAGGAGGGTGGGGGAAAACTCGCCCCTCTCTGCACCGACCCCCCCCCCCTCCGCATTACGTCACTGTTGGTCATCGTTACGTACCAATATTTGGCTCGCATAATTTCAAATTTGGGCCCCCCCCCCTAAGAAATCCTGGATCCGCGCCTGGTTAGAGTAATAAAAACATCGAGGACATCATCATCATCACCATCATCATCATCATCATCATTATCCCACCATCATCATCGTCATCCCATCATCATCATCGTTATCCCATCATCATCATCGTTATCCAATCATCATCTTAACCATGGTCATCATAAACCATCATCACAACACTGCCGTCATCATAATCATATTTAAGAACCTCGTGTATTATGCTGCATATTTATCTTCATTAAGATCCGTTTTAACAATCATCATCATCATATATGCGTAGTATGAACATTGGGTTAAATCCTCATTTATTCCCGACATTGTTCAATTGTTTGATGTTTACTATAATCGTCAAAAATATATAAGAGAATCAGAATGGCGAAACTTTGAAATAAAACGGACCAATATTAAAAAAAGTTATGAAAGGTTATGGATGAGCGACGTGGCGCAATCTACTTACCTCTGCATTCTACGAGGTCGATTTCACCAGAGGCAGGCCACTCGCCATACCCACTGTTCTTGGGAAGGAGCCAGATGGCTACATGACATAAACGTACAAACACATAAAGTCAAAATTGTAATGAAGACAGAGGGAAGTGTGTTAGGTTTGCCGTCGAATTACATGAAAAATAAGCATCAAACAGACTCAACACTATGACAATATTTGTCATCGATGATATTCAATTTTCAAAGGTTTCTGAGCTATTCCCTGAAAATTCATAGTTTCAAATCATCTGCCGGATACCCACCCTGATCGGACTGACAACTTGTCACTTGTGGGTATACAAACATACATATATGTATAAAGTATGAATATATACATGTATCGATGCTAAACAGACAAACACCACAATAAGAGAGAATGGACATTTAGTTATTGAAGAGGTGTGTTTCTATTAGTTCTTCTCAAAATAGTTAATCGAAGGGGAGGTGCGGAATAAAGAAGGGAGGGTGTTCCACATTTTTAATTAATTAAGTGTACATGAATACATTTTTGTATTTCTTCCCACATAACAGGAGCGTGTTGTGTTGAATTAAAGGAGAATCTGCCCTTAAAGTAAAAAACTCTAAATTAAAACAGAAATATCAGAGAGTCAGGCTGAAGAAAGTTATAACGAAATCGGACAAAAAGTAGGAAAGTTATGAATTTTTGAAAGTTGCAATTACTATGCGTATGGAACTTCAATTTTTCCGAATCGATACTGTTACTGTGATCATGGTACGGTTGGTACCTAACACCTAAAATGGTTGAAATTAATTTGTTCTAAGTCTATGACTTAGGAGGATATTTCCTCTTGAGAGGACCCACAATAATGTAGTAGTGCCCCAAGGGAGAAGACACTAGAGCGAAGAAAACAGTAATTAATAATGTGTTATTTTTGGTACTCGACAAAAGCGATCGAATTGTCCGTATATAGTTAAGTCACATTTCATTGACGAAATTGCCAATTTCTCCTCCTTCTCCTCCTCTTACTTCTACTTTTTTCTTGTGTTCCCCCTAGTACCTACCCGGCCAGATCCAGTCTCCTGTCGGCATCTTAGCCTCCACCTCTATCCGTCCATACTTAAATGTGAATGACTCGACAGTTCTGATCCTAGCTGATTGTATTGGGTTGAGGATATTTGCTGAGGTCCCAGTGCGACTACACCCCCACCACGCGTTGCCAGTACACAAGTTGGCAGGTGATGCACCTAGCATGGAAAATAAAAGTGTCTTCATACCACTGGCAGGGTTCTAGGACACCTATCCCCTGGACATCCAACCCCCGGATAACCACCCCCAGTCAAATACCCCCTGGGACAACTACCCCCTAGGTCAACCTCCCTCTAGGACGAATACCCCCGGGGCAACTATCCCCCAGACAAGTACCCCAGACAACTATTCCCTAGGACAATCACCCCTAGGACAACTACCCTCGGACAACTACCCCCTACGACAACCATCCTCTAGTACATCTACCCCCGGTAGATGGGTAGAGGGTAGTTATATGGGGGGGGGGGTAGTTGTCCGGGGGTAGTTGTCCTTGGGGTAGTTGTCTGGGTGAAGTTGTCCCGGGGGTGGTCGTCCAAGAGGATGGTTGCCCTAGGAGGTAGTTGTCCGCGGGATAGATGTCTTTAGTTGAGTGGGCTGGTTATGCGGGAGGGGGGGGGGGTGGATGTCCATGGGGTAGGTGTCCGGGTACGCACTGGCAGATGTACACTTTTTGTTTATCAACACGTACGTAAAGATCCTCAACAAATTATTGTAATTAAACATGATCGCAGAGAACATAAACTAAACATAAGCAATACAATTAAGAAATGAAATGTTATTATTTATTTTATATTTATTATCTTATAGTCATTTATGGCCGTACATGGTATGCTGAAATAATAATGTGGAAGGGTATGAAAACTGATCACGAAATGCTGACCCTTTGTGGTATTTTATTTGTATTACTTAAAGTATATTTGTTAGCTAAATTGTGCATCGTGATCACAAATCCTAGTATTTTTTTCCATTGCCAGTCTACACTTTTGCTCTTGTTTGTTTTATTACGTATTGAACTATTTTACTATTTGTGTTTCGTATTGTATTTTCAAATTGTATTATCTAAACCAGGGATCTCTTGCAAAGCAGTTGTCATGTATGATGTACTGAAAAGACTACCCTGTAAATAACACATACTAAATAAATTGGGTGACTTTTTATTTAACTACAAGTTGCCTTATATTAAAGTTGTCAGTAACTCGAAAAAAAGTACTATTGTTTAATTAAAGGGATGGAAAGGTTCCTTATTTCACTCGTGCGCTAATATGCGCACAAACTGCTCTCCTCTCCCCCCCAAAAACACAGATTAAAAGAAGAAAAAAAAATCTAAAACAGCAAATACAGAATAAATTAAAATAAGTTCTTCGGCAATTTATTTTCCTCATATCCCTACCAAATTGATTCGCTCAGAAAGTATAACACATGTATATAAATATTATGTCCACATCCGCTACCCCATAATATCGCAGATGCTTATGTATACGAAAACCTACCCCATAGGTCGAGCGTTCCCGATGATAAAAACTGTTCACCATAATGGTCTGATGTCAGCGTCTGTCTCAGGAAAATAAAAAGAGAATAAGAGCAAATAGGCCAACGAATTGGAGGGACTGGGCTGCAGAGTTGACATTTGGACAAATGGCGTCATCCCATGGCAAAAATATATCCATATGCACATGATGTAAAGGAATAAGATAGATATAAAAAAAAGATTTGTATTTGAAATCTAACTATTCGGATCAGTTGTCCCATAGAAGACATTAGTAATAAGAGTTAGGGATACGTTGCATAGTATCTTCATAAGGCAATTAGAACGGCTGACTATTTAAATTTCTCATTGCCATAGACCTATTTCGATATAAAGAGTGGGCAATGGAGTAATGGTTCCAGTGGAATGATTAAATGGGATTAAATTTGTTGATATTGTTGGTAGAGCCCATCGCAAAAATATCTATAATTGTTAAATTATACAAAAGTATTCATTAAAAATCATGTAACTTCTCAGAGCTACTGCTACAACCGCAAGGGCCACTATCGTTGATTTTACTATCTCTTCCATCTGATAGTGGCCCATTATATCCCATACCTGTAGAATCTTACAACATGATTAATGAGACATTAGGTCACGTGATAAATAATAGCTTATAATTGAAAGACGGTATTTTTCCAACCGCCTTTGTGACAATTTGTATTATTTTTTCTCATGATGTTACATCGTTGAATGGACTTAATGATAAGAACTTTAAGTATTTAACTTGAATCATAAATCAACAAAATGATGAAATGAATGATGATATCAATTGATATCAAAATTTATATTTATAATTACCGGTTTTATGTAAAGACTGCCGTCCTTCACATAGCTATTAGAACGATTGTTGGTGTAGTATTGGAACTCCCAGTTCTAAAATAAAGCAAAAATAAAATCACCTTTTGTCAGTCTGGAGCAAAAATGATCGCAAATATTTTCGAAAAACAAACAACCTAAATCAATTACAATAGCCTATTCTAGCCCATCGCCCATTGTACGTGCATACATTATAATTGCGTATTACGTCACAGCATAGTTTCTATGAGATAGGCACCAGGGCTATGAAATTGACCTTAAATTGATTTGTCGAAAGACTTAGCGATCGTGTCCACAGTGTATGAATCAGGAAACGATAAAAAATGAACGAATGAGCTCGTCTCTCATATAACAGAAACGAAATTCCATCAAAGGGTCGTAACACATTAGATGAATGACATGGACATCATAATGGAAATCAGAAATGAAGTATTTCTTGATTCACATCAAACACGACACACGGCAAAACGAATCGACAGCACGACACGCACGCTTTTCTTTTTACGGCTTTACGGCTGACAAGGTTTGTGCCTGGAAACTAAATGGGTTCTAGCAGTAATGGATAATTAGTTAATCTCTTAGTGTGATCAAATCTTACCCCTCCTCCTCCGGCGGTTATCTCATGTTCCCAGATGTCAAAGTTGAATGAGTTGAACTCTTCTTGGAATATCAGTCCATTGCAAGGTGCCACGCCCATATCACAGGATCCATCACATGGGTACACGTCACATGTTAGACTGGCAGCTGAATAATAATAATGATTTTTAAAAAAAAAGAATAAAAAGAAGAAGAAAATAACAATAATAATGTGCCTGGGAGGCGAAAAGCGATCTCAATCACTGTAACACTCGGGTCTCTCCTCCCGGTATAACTGATTTGGGGTTTGCAGGTGGACCACTACACCGCGGTTCCCCCTACTCTTATTCGAATAGTGCAGTGGGTTCATAACGTGCAAAGGTGATGACTCCCCTCTACACGGTACCTCCATTTAACTTCCTATCCGAGGGATGGAGTGTTTTCGACTTAACATAGCCTGCGTCTATGAACAAGGGAAGGGGCACGTTAACACACAACACAGGCTTCAGTCATCCGCCTAGGTGGGAGTAGAACCCGGGATCTTTAGTTGGACAGGCAGACGCTTTACCGACTGAGCCAAATCACCTCCTTCAATAATCATGATGATAAAAATACTTATGATAATGATGATAATAGTCATGATTATAAAAATGATTACGATAATGATGATAACAATTATGATAATGATAATGATAATCGTTATAATAATAATAATAACAACAATAATAATATGATAATATAAATGATGATAAAAAATAATAAATGCGAAGTTGAACCGTATTTAATGCTACATATTGATAAAACAATTCTAAAATCTTTTTGGGTGTTTCGAACATGACATTAATATAATGCATACCGACAAAATGATATTATTGATATACAGTAGGAAAACAAAATAACACAAAATCAAGCCTGAAAACAGTTGATTGTTGTCTTAAGTCACCATACTCTGCATGGCACAAGTGGATTTTGATATGATATCTTGACAATAATGTTTATCAGTGAAGCGTGTGTGGATTAATGTAATCAATATATCATTTGAAAGCGTACAGTTTGTTCACTATAACCGTTTGATTTGGATTTGTTTTTTCTTTAGGATGCACTGTATTGATAAGAATTGTTGACAATATCATATCTTTGTTTTAAATATAGACTAGGACCTTTAATACATGTATTATGTATGATGAAATCAGCGATTATATCATACATAACTGGAACCAAGATGTAGCGTGATTAATTTGTTAGGTGTTCTACTCTGCCTCCGTCTTTTAATAACAAATATTGATCTTCCCTCAGCTGCTGAAGCTGCATTTTTTCTTTTTCTTTCCGTTGTTGTTGTTCTGATTGTTTTTTTAAATAAAATAAATGTAGATTTGTATTAATTCTATCACACGAAGTCACATACAACGTCAGAAACGTACACGGAGTAATGAGATTATCATGTAAAACGAAAACGCACGAAATATAAATGAAATTTTACCAACCGTTTACTGTAGTCCAAGAAAGAGCTAAGAAAACGAGAAGATACTTCATCATTGCCATCTTGATGGAATTGTGAATCCAGACTGATAAACATGTACAGCTCAGCTGTCATATTCTATACCCTCACAGATAGCAGGAGTTATTTATTAACCCACCTCTTGGATGATGACACCTGGTACCGATTTTTGAAAACTGGCTATGACTAATGTTATTCATAATTCTTAAATGAAATTGCTCAAAGGCAAAATCGAATTAATGATTTTAAGCTATTGACTTGAAATTAGTCAGATTTGTATAATGAAATGGGGCTCTGGATGGGTTCACCTTTTACTCTCTATTCGCATGATATAGGCGAAGGAGAGTAAAGGATGCCTGGGAATCAGTACTGAATTGAAAGGGTCTGCGAAAGGAGTGGTTAATAAACAGATTACTGCACCTTCATATGTTGAGAATATGATTTGTTTTAGTTTTTGTTTACAAAAAGGATCAATCGTGTTTTGTAAGGTTTTCAAAAAGAAATACAAATATGTTAAGTTTTTCTTTTGCGTAGTAGCTTACTATTTAAAGCCATAATTGAAAATATGAGAGTATCTAAAAACAAACTCTTACATATGGGACATTGCTTCTATGGGAAAAACAAACGAATGGGAAAGTAATATTCCCAATAGTGTCACAGTAGTAAAGACCTAATCATTGTCCCCAATTATCATTCAATTACCATCATTTGTGATCATGGAATTATGATAGTTGGTGTTGTCAAAATTTGATAATATTCACTGTATCGCAAATTTGGTACTAATTTATTAAACACTTATACATTAGAATATCAGATAATGTAACACATACTGAATAACACCGTGCGAAGCAAACATCTGTCGTCCCTTCTTATCGTGCTCACTGTTTATTTTAAAGATACCATACACAATATTGTACGTGTAGTTTAATCGTAACAAAATATATGTCACCCACCTTGCAGAGTGGAATCCAAAAAAATGTCATTATAATTTTAGATAGGCATCAAGAAAAAATATATTTGCACACGTGTTTGACTTTTTGTACAAAGAAGATTAATAAGCTAAGTGAGTAAAAATAGAGAATGTTTGAAGCATTAAAAAAATTAAAATATAACAAATTGCAATTTTATTAAACGATTTATATATGTAATCAGCCTTACATAAATATACTTAAGTCCCAATGTCTTTACAATTTTTACAGTCCTGTCATACACACTGTCTCATGGAGATACTGAATTCATTTTTTAATGTGGGAGAGGGATCTATACAGTCAATAAACTATTTGTTTCCTCATAATTCATGTGTCTATTTGCTATAAATAAATGCAGTTCTTCATGAGTAAATATCCTTCAACTAATTCACCAACAACAGTCTTGTAGCCTTTGAAAATGTATCATATTTTGATTTGTTCTATCATACCGTGACCTTAGCCATACAACATTCATGTAGATCATTATGATTAAAAGCATTATCGAATAACTACTATTTCCCGTTCATTTTTTGGTAGATAGTGTCCTACCGAAGAAATACCAAAACACATGCACCTACTATTAGTATTTCACAACCTGTCGGAGCATAATGGTATGTTTATAATGTGTACATACAAAGCCAACGTAGCAGACTGATTAACAATACAGCTGTAAGTTTTACATGGAGTCATTTGTGTATATACATAAAAATACAAGTTATCCATAAAAAACATATATTAATGTATACATATACATATATAATACCTGTTTGTTCTCTGTACGAAGAAGATTAATAAAGCTCAGTGGGTAAATTAGAGAATGTTTGAAGCATTGTTTATTAAAATATTTGTAATAAACTATGAACAATTGTATGAAACAATTTAGATAAGTAATCAGTCTTAAATAAATATTCTTTAGTTTCAATGTCTTTGCAATTGTTACAGTCCTGTCATACACACTCATGGATATACTGAATTCATTTTTTGTATGTGGGTATGGGATCTATAAAATCAATAAACCATTTGTTTGCTCACAATCTACTTGTCTATTTGCTATAATAAATACAGTTCTTCATGAGTGAATATCTATCAACTAATTCATTAACATTTCTAGCCTTTGTAATGTACTCTTATTTCATTTGTTCTATCATTCCGTGACCTTAGCCATACAAGACACGAAGTTCATAGTGTCTGTTCACTTATTTAACAAGCATTATTGAATAATTACTATTTCCCGTTCATGTTTTAATAGTGTCCTACCGAAGAAAAGAATGCCAAAACACATGCACCTATTAAACTGTTTTTTCCCTACTTATCATAGTATAGTATAATGTTGTTGTTTTTAAATTGTACATACGAAGCCAGCGTATAAACTGATTCAAAATTCAGCTTTATGTTCTACAGAGAATCATTTGTGTATTTACAGAAAGAAAAAAAACTATCCATACAAAACATATATAAATTGATTCATATAAATAGATAATACCTATAATTACTTTTTATTTCAAATTCCTCACAGAAAGAATTTTGTTATAAGCCGATAAATATAAAGGTTCTGTTTTAAAAACGTGTTACATGAATATTGAATATTTCTTTAATCAACTGATCAAAACTTGTTACAATTTGTTACACTAATATCTAAGGTCACTTAAAAATGGTCGAATTTGATATCAACATATTCTAATAATCTTTTTTTAGTTTGATATCAGAAAGTTTGCGTATGTAGATATGTTAAATAATCATTCTTGTATAATATAATAGACAGATTATAATCAACACTACCATATCATTTTTTTTGCATCACATAAAACTTTGCACATACCTGTATAAGTATTAATCCGTAATTTTAATAGCAAAGGTACAGAAATATTTTATCCGCCATCCAATTCTATCCGTGGTTAATTAATTTTTGACATAAACAATCATCATTCCTTTATCTCCTGTGACTCTCTCTCTCTTTCTCTCTAGATTGGATAGCATTTGCCATCCAATGGCTTAATTCCATATTTCCTTATACATTACAACAACAACAACAACAACAAATCAACATCTAGCCATAAAACTCTATCTCATTTGGCCATGTTATATATTCAGTACAGTTCAATGCAATTAGAGGAAATTGATTATTTGCACGAAAATAGAGGTATATTCTACTTCAATTTCGATCTCTTGCATTTTTTATATATTCTTAAAATAATAATTACAATTATAGTAATTACAATTTACACCAACGTCTTGATTTTACGAGTGTTTCTTCCACTGTCATATTATGAAAGTTATACCCGATATTGTTTGGATATATATATTTTTAATCTTGTGTTATTACTAACTACAAAGCTTTAGTCAACATGCCCTATGTGATTAATATACATGAATAATGCAACACGTATTAGTAAGCCTTGATGCTTTCGATGTAGTATCCAAGAAGAGCAGCACCTAAACTGTTTAAAGTTCCATGCGACTTTCTAATTTTCAGTCCAATGATTCTAGAATGATACACGATGCATCGAACAGGTCAGATAACTTCTACTTTATCATTACTTCGTATCCAAAGAGGGCATAGTATTTTTATATCTTTTTCGTCACGTTCTCGTAGATCGTAGATGAAATCAAGTGAGATTTGACAGCTTCGTAGATGAATTGATACTGCGCCTATATTGTGAAAAAGACAAATGGTAGGTTATGGTGGACATTAATCAAACGTTTTGGTCGAACAAAATACCTAGCTTCATGACTTTCCTATCTTCATCGTTGCATTTTAAGCTACAAGTAAGTATGGTTATGCCGTCCAAGTTGGACTGAATGGATCATAAGCCTCCTAAAATTGTCTATTTCTTAAAATAAGGCAACCCTATAAAGGTTTATTGTTCTTATTGTTTTAGTAAAAGGCCAATTGACACGCATGACACTAGCCTATGAAAAGTCTCTAACAGGAGTACATCAACTGTTGGTGTCCTTGACTTAATAACATAATACATCCTTACAAAAGTCATTGGGAATAAACTCGAAGGTATTGTTTCGTACCAATGAGGCCACTGCACCAGGACGTGTTGTCCTCAGTTTCTTGCATGCGTGGAAGACATCAATGGTCTGTTTGGCGTTAAGTTGGTCCATGACTGCCAGGAAAGCACAGAACGCTCCAGTCATTCCCTCACCGTCCCTATATTCAATTAAGATTCGACATAGTAGTTGGAGAAATGCAGTTGGTATAAATTTGGAGCAAAGGAAAGATCGTCAAGTTCGAATAAAATCCAAAATTTACGCCCCAAGTTCGAGTGAAGCTTTTTCTGCAATATTACACGAAAAGAATTCCAATGAGAGCTTAGGCCCCAAACTATAGCTAACATGATTCCTAGCTTAAACCCAACTGCAAACTTATCCCAAACGTTCTATCTTTGACGAAATGGGACCCGCATATTACGTGACCAGAGCTTTTTCCCAATCATAAATTACACGATGGCATGAATAAAACAGTGACTCAGACTTGGAAAACTATAAAGATCAGAATCGAGGTAATAAATACTTTTCCCGCCTTTAATTAGAGAAAAAAAATCAGCGCCACTCATGAGGATAACATTTGTTAAATCTTCTGCATTTATATGTTTGTCATATTTCATGAAGAATATTTTCAAATTCTACATTCTACGGTATGATGGCCTCCTGAAAGATATTAATGAAAGAAGGATTAAACGAAAAGGACCGAGGGAAGTTAAATGGTACAAACCAAAAAGTGAAGGAAATAACTCAAAACAGAAAAAAAATCAGAGTGTTTTCTTTGCTTAAAACATGCTTTACATCGGAGCACCAGAGAGAGAGAGAGAAAGAGAAAAAAAAATCTCAGACACACTTGCTTTGCTCTTCGGGAACTTGTGCTGGATTTAAGTAATACGAAAAGGTTTTCAAGATTGAAAGTGGGTCACTAAAAACAACGATAACAATGAATGAACTATTTTTCGGGAGCATTTCCATCGACGTGACATTGCCATCGTCTACGTCTTGAGCATTATACTCGAGCACTATAACCTAATACTTTACTCTATTTGTCTATGATAAAGGCTTCACTATATGATAGGGTAAATTTTCCTGGTCCTGAGTAGTTCAATGTAGCCCAAATGCCACTGTACAAAAAGTAATAATGTGCGTACCTGCAATGGACCAGAAGTGGGGAATCCCCCTCCTTCCACTCCGTGCTACCTAGAGCGGTCAATAGAGCCCTGTAAAGGTCTATCACATCAGTGAGTGTAGGAGGCACATCTAACGGAGGTGGGCATGAGGCAAGCTGCAGATGTTTCACTGTCTTAGGAAAGGCCTTTAAATGTAAAAAAATAGTTCACAAATTATTTATTTATCAACCCTTTTAATAATCATTTCCATGAGGTCATTTGACTACTGATTATGGTTACAATTTTAATACCCTCGCTCAAACTTATCAGTGAGGAGGGTGTTTCACAAAGATCCTAAGTTGAACTGATCTCTAAGTTGGACTTAAAAATTATGGAAAGCCGTTAGCATCTTTGAAATTATTTTGTAAAAGCTTTTTTAAGAGGCATAAAATGTTGATTCAAATCATTCATAATTTTCTATTATCAAGGAGAATTCCTGTTCGTGATGTGGAATTTATATAAAGTCTAAAATACTTGAATTTTTGCTTTAAACATATTTTATTTTAAGGCTACAAATGGCTCTCCATAATATTTAAGTCCAACTTAGAGTTAAGTTTGACTTAGGATCTTTGTGAAACACCCCCCTGGTTACTAATTTTATGAACTCGAAATTAAGCTTACTACATAATATACAAGTACCTTGCACTGTTTGATTACATGAATACAGTGATATTCCATAATGATTAACTTACATGTATTAAAATAGGAGGGGTAGATAATGTTCACCCCCTTTTCTGTAGGCGCCCGACTCTCCTGATAACTCAGTCACGTCAGCAAGACGACTACACATCCATACATAGCGAACAATTACACTACCTTCCAAACTATCCCCCATTGCCAATGGTCGTTTTTTTTTAGAGCAAGTTTTGAGTAGGTTCGGTGGTAGGACTGGGGTAGTAGAAGTGCCCCTTTTTAATACCCCCCCCCCGACACAGACACAAATCTTTGCAGATAGTACTACTACTCCTGCCTGTTTCTCTGTTATACCTCTCCCCATTAAGATAAGAAGAAGAAGAATATAAAGAGAAAATATAATATGCATTATGTAGCAAACATTATATACCTTCTTTGAGTCTGTCTTCGTCACTTCCAATGTTCTGTGCATAATTGGTCTCTTATATTCTTCCTTCTTGACGTCTATCTTAAACGGACCGTATCGTTGGCTGCCCTCTGTTGGCCAATACTGCGAGTATTTCTGATACAGAATTTTCGGTAAAAAAAGAAGGGACTTGTAAAGAGGAAAGAGAACATAAATTTATGAAAAAATGAAAGAAAAAAAAACTGCTATTAAGATCACAAATGTGCATCATTAATTGAAATATATTCGCCGATTACAATATTTCTATAGGCAATGCAACAGGGTATTACATTTGCATTTAATTTGATTTCTTGAAAGTCTTTGCGATCGTGTCAGAGTGATGTACCAATGAACAAAATTCCATAGCAATTTTAATATCACTACATACATATAACATTGTTTTTCGTCCCTAAATAATATAGACCACGTTTTGCAATTCCACAAGGGAAAGTGCCACATTCACTTATTTAAAATGTGATAAAGATGTCCTCATTGCAGAGTTGACAGGACTTTCTTTAAAATATTCCATTGAGCATTTCGGGAAAAGCACTCAATTGGGTCAGTAACTTCTGATTCGGAGTATTCCAAAAAGGGTTAACATATTGTGTCCATCCTTGTTGCATGACCAGATGCGTTTTAAGACGGTAATCCTTAAAAGGAAAAATCAGGCTTTTAAATATTCAAATTTGCAAAACTTGGAGAGATTCAAAAGCATTATTTTTTCGACAAAATTCATACCTTTGTATATTGTTTTCATACATATTGCATTTTATTAGAACAATGTAGCATTAAAAACCGTCACTACTAGTGGGCCAGAGGGGATTAGACCACACAGCGAGGTCACTGACAGGTGGCTATCTCATTAACTCAGCTCTCAACTAACATAAGAAAAAGAGGATCATGGGGACCAACAGGCACCGATTGGGGAAGTTTTCTATATAGAGGGAGCAAGTAGCTACAAGTAGGACAGTGGGGCTTTAAAAAAAGAACATAATTGTTCCCAATTTGAAGAACAATGTGTGATCAATATATACTTTAAAATAATCACTGACCTTTAACTTAAAGGGTTAACTTGAATATTCGAAATTCAGAGAATTAATTAGGAACCCACCTTGTCTTTTGTGTTACCATGGAGCATTACGATCGTTTCCACTTTGTAGTCTACAACAAGACGCCAGAAATCCACCACTGTATTGGGTAAGGGTGTTTGTGTCCCGACGAACTGATTCCTTGTAACGTATCCCTTTAAATGAATCAGGAAGATTATGATAACCATTCATATTTTATATCGTCAAATATGCATAATGATCATAACTTGAAAGGCGCTTTTTTGTATCCATTACATAATTCACATGGTGGTGAGTGCAGTATGAAAAGACATTTAATATTTCCCTTTAACTACGCTTCGCTATAAAACAGGAACTTGTACATCGTATGTCATCAGCTAGTTCACAGCTGTATTCCATTTCATAGACGGAACTACCTCAGGAAGCGATTATAGGTCCATTTGCACCTCAGTCCAGACATCCCGATGTGAATGAAAAATCGCGATTTCGATCGACATGTAAAGGGGTATCATGACGAACTATTACAATAACTGTTACTGAATTGCAGTTGATAACATACTTTCTTTTATATGTGGGAAATCATCTGACAAATCTTGGGGAGTATAACCACTATCTTTGTATTACAGGTATATACATGTATGAAAGAGGTTTCGAAGCCGCAGTAATAATTGTGAAGTGCAAGGGGTGTCAATTCTTACAGACATGAGCGCTATACAAGCACCCACTATTATCATTATTATTAAATTTCAAACGGTCTATTGGAAAGACTTAAAAAGACGAAGGTGTTATGATTTTACAAATGAATATGATCTCTTTTTTACTCACTGGCAAGAATGATGCATTGATGTAATCGTTCCCTCCTTCCACTTCAGTCATCAGGAAAGGACGTGTTCTGCTCACTAAACGAAGACAAACATTAAGGAACAATATGTACTATTTACATGATATATCCAGAACGATGGTGAGTCGCATTATTAAATAAAGATAAAGCAAAGAACTCGACCCACAACCATACACAAAATGATTACAATCAAATAAATGTTCAATCAATAACATTGCCTTTACCACGAAAAATGGCATTTCTGAATTCCCACTTCAATTGAAATGTTTTTAACTTAAGCAACACTTTACGTGAGTAGAATGATGGATATAATTGCCAAATTCGATAACATTGTACACATATTTTTAACCATTAGAGGAGCTTGCTTGCGGAAAGGGATGAGCAGTGTATGCCCCTTTAGCGGGGGGGGGGGGGGGTGGGGGTGGTGGTAGGTACAGCAGTAGAATTGGAATGTGTAGATCACAATTGAAATTACACACTATCAATATTAAACTAAAATATAAAAAGACCTGACCACAATACTATGGTCCGATGTTAGTAGGTCCAACAGCCAGGATCCATCTTGTGATATATATAGTACTGGTTCACTTACCTGGTGCCTTGTCAGGAAAGCGATTCTTGCTAGCATTGTCCTCACTCCTGGCAGCTGCAGTCTCCTCGTCTTGTGGAAGGATTGTTAACGCTTCCAATAACTAAAGAAGAAAGGGAGAAAAGGATTACAACTTCAAGACAGAGGCCAAGAATAGAAGCTCCTTCTCAAGTGATAATCGAGCTATATTTTTAATAACTTATATCGAGAGATATAAAAACTGTATCCCTTAAACTGTCGTGAATGATCACTTATACAAATCCGAACAGAAAGCTGTTTTTCCATTTTTGTTGTGGAAACACTGAAGTATATATTTTGCACTTGACCTGGCTTTTGATGAGAGGTTGATCCTTCTCGATGCTAATTTTTTTTAAGACGACTGTTTTACTATGTACACGGTTTTACCCTCGTTTGTTCATCTCAACCCGGGTGTATTTAATGGTTAACAAGGAATGTTTGGGGCGATTCTAAACACGGTGTCCGAAACGTCATTCGTCTTTTCCCGCATATTTTATACAAACAATTAAGAATCCCTTGAAATTGCCATTGCCGAATTGTGCTAATATCTCGAATTAATACCATTAGCCATAGCCATGAAGATACTTTATATTGATTTAATATATAGATGGAATCTATGGATGAATGTAATATATAGTACGAGACACACCCTGGTAAATAGAATTCAAGGTACATATTTACATGTATGTATATGTAGTCAATATGTGCGTGAAGCTGCAGGTTATGACAGTGCTCAACTGTAGTAGCTAGTGTACACACACATACAACTAACTACATAAATATATACATATATAACGCAAAAATGATAAAGAGAAGATTCATGCTTCAAATCAAACATTAATTAAGGTCACAAATTTTCGACGTACATTACGTCTTTATCAACTATAGGATTTAAATCATGAATCTTCTCTTCATTATGTAAAGCGTTATCTTATGCCACACGTGAACTTGATATCGGGTATATATGAATATGAATTCCGGTGTTACCTCAAACTGCCGCTGTATACCAGTCACCCCGTTGGACTTGGATAGAAGTGACTGACATGTTTCTCCGAATGCATTCCGGGGGATACTCGTGTCTCCACATGTCAATTCCTGGAGAAGTGCCTCATAGATGAACCTGTATTGTTTCTTAAAATTAAGTGGTAGAAAGGATGCTTTTTCATGATAATCATGACAATACAGGTGGTTAAATGCTTTGGGTATATCAACTTTCATGGGCCCATATTTACAAACCGTTGGTATCATTACGTCACGCATTGTGAACATATGTGTGTTATGTTGAATGTTACATAATGTAAAACATGTAGTCTTTGTTGTTGTTTTATATAACTTTGCTTCTTAAGTACGTGCTGTTTTCTTTACCTTTGTTTGGACCATATTAGGACGTTTTTGTCTCATTTGAACGATGAAGGCGTGGATATGCACTGCTTGTTCAGTCTCGATCTGATCCAACATGGCGTCCAGTGTAAGAAAGGTTCCCGTCCTTCCTACGCCAGCACTGAATGATAGACAATGTTTAGAATAAAAAATACTGGTTAATCATCTTGACTGGATTCGTTTGCGGTCCGGAAGTGATTGTATAAACTCACGTTGATGCGTTGAATCATTTTGAGATTCTAATCACAATTTAATGTACTCAAATTGTAAACCTGTCACTCATCAATTACTATCTATGGATGTAATATATACCTAGTATACTACTGTAACGAGTGTCTATGTTGAATAACCATCGAACAAATTGTCTTCTTGTCAATAATATGTTCTATATAGTTCTCTCCAAGATAATATATATTATTGACCTGGTCATAACGTCACTAAAACGTATTATCCTTCATTTTTTTCGGGAAAATGATCAAAGTCTGGAAATGGAATATGAATTTGGCATGAAAGTTAAATTAGAGAAAACGAAACCTCAAATCACTGATTGATATTATCTTATTTAAGAGAGAGTAATCACCGGGATTAGCCTTCAGTTTAATGACCAACAAGCATTATGTAATGCTTTGTCTTTTCCCCGTATGGTAAAGTCCTTATCTGACATTTACTCCACCCGAAGATTCTTCGAGAGAAGAGTGGGTATTTGTTGAGTGGACTACAAGTTTGCTGCGTGCAGACTTGTTCACCCATCAATGGTATTTCCATCAAATCTTGTTTTTTTTTAGCGAATTATGACCTTCTGCACATGAAAACTACCATCCAACACACTTTAACTACACATCCTCGTCTTGCTTCCAATAACTGTTGGGAATCAGTTGTTAAAGCATCGCATTATGTATTTTAAGCGGGAATTAGTACGTTTGGATGTATTAGTATACGAATAATAAACAGCAGTGAATGCATTAGTAAGAAATACCCACCCAAGGTACCTTTGGAACAGTCCAACACACCCGAGGCGGTAGCTGAGGGTGTTTGGACTGTTTTGAAGGTACCGAGTGTTGGTAATTTTATTAATGGCCTAGCAAAATGCTGTGTATTATTTGTTTTATAAGATTATGTTTTATTTGTTATATGACATAATTTTGCTAATGACCGGTCATTATCCAAATTACGCGTTAGGCAAAATAAAAGCCTGGTCACGTGTACGCTTTCAACCAATCATTTCCTTAGGATCCACGGCATCATCATATAATAAATTCTATTAACGTCTGGTACCTGCAGTGCACTACGGTTGGTCCTTTGGGTGACTTGAGCGGTTCTCTAGTAATCTTGATGAAGTTCATAAGATGCGAAGGATACTCTGGAACACCCATGTCAGGCCACGTGGTGTAGTGATACTGTACAACGTCACGGCCAGTGTTATTGCACTATAAAGTAATTGAGAAAATGTCAAAACTTTAGCATTCTGTCACAGTAATTTTTAAATAAATGAATATAATTTGAATGATAATTTCAAGTACTATCTCTCTCTTTTTTTGTCTTTCTCTCTACCTCTTCCTTGTTTTATTTTTGACTTGTTGAGATAAGGACATGCCCCCACCCCAGCGCCACTTTACGCCAAAGTTAGTCAATGTTATAAAATGGGTTCAAGAATCTAGCCAATGAGAAGCTTCGAAATGGATCACGTGTGCGTGCATTTATTTTTACCATAAACCACGGGGAGTGCATTTTGTTGACAACAACCGTCAATTTCACGACTTAATAATCATATTGTAGTCCCATCTCATACAACAAATAAAACGTGTTTTTAGCCTGTGCATTATTAATATGCACTGCACTTTAAGTCACAATGATACGGACAATGAACTCGAAAAGTCTCGTTCTTTATCCAACTGTGATTTAACCTGCGTGCAGTGCATATGTGAATATGCACTCGCAAACACGTGTATTATTTTTTTTCAAATATTGCATCATATATACATGAAAATATTTCGATTTGTGTTGTTGTAAACGTTTACTATCCAATGATAAGGCACTCGAGGTCAAATAATTTCAACGAAGGATGCATGAATCTTATATTCCAGTCTTTTTTTTTCTTCTTCTGGCAAGTACGTTAGTTTTCTGACATTATTTCACGGCGTCATAAATAATTCGCCAATTTGAAATTACCAAAGTTTTATATTTTACAATAATTAGGTGTACTGATTTTAACATTTAAAAATCAATTAACCCTCCTGTTGTTTCTTCCAATAAAAAAACAACTGTTATTAGTCTATTTTCTTGTTTTGTTTTGCTTTTCACGAGAGAAGCTAATAAAATAGCACCTATGTTTGGTAGATCGGTTCGAACTTTCGGGGCATCGTTGGCGTTTGCAGAAATAAATATCAAAATTCTGAATGGTTTATATATATCTACAAATAAACATGTTTCACGAGGTATTATACAACTTACCACCAGATTGAGATACCTGACAGTATAATGGTCGCTTTTCTTTTCATTCGTCATCGACACCCAAATACCTCCATATGCAACACTCTCAGTAGGCCAGTATTGCTCGCATTTTTTCTAAAATGGACGGATGAAAACGACATCATATCAGTCTGCAAAACTCTATCGTAAATGAACATACTTGTAAAATATGTTAAATAAACACACTGTCTTTAAATTCATAAATTTTCTTTTAGTTTAAAATTAAAATGAATCTATTTGATTAGAATATGTTGTTAGAACTTGGAACACCGACATCCATGATGATTAATGTATGTAGATTGAAAAATATGATGATGAAAGTTTTAAAAAAATATATTACAACGAATATACTAGAGCGGGACCAAAAGTCAACATATAACATAATGTGTTAACATTGAATTGACAGATATGCCCATTTGTTTTGGCGTTCAAATATTGCAATCTTTTTAACAATGTGGTAAAAAGAGTGGAGGTTACTTTGCAACCGTTGCGTAATTCCTAAGCAGATCTTACCGGACCGTGTTCAGATTGTAGTTTAGATGGATCCAAGATCTATGGTGAATGCGATCGCAAAGCCTTTCGATAAATCAACATTGGTCGATGTCAATAGCCATGATAATTATCTACTAAAATTTGCAGTCACATTTTTCGACCTTTTTCGCAATACTATTTATTTGCGATATACAATAAGGTATTGACATTGCCCTTGAATTTATTTCTCGAAAGTCTTTGCGATTGTGTTGATTAAACTGACCTTATTTGACTCCCTCAGATTTGTTAGCATAACAATCTTCCTGCAATCATACTGCCACATCATACGCCAGAAGTCGTCTACAGATGCTTTATTGGGACCTAACAAGAAATAACAACACCATTATTAACTGTTACTAAAATAAAGCGTTTTGCCAGTTACAACGTAGTCGACCAAAGCGCTTACAGTATAATTACCGGTCACTGAATTCTGTAATGATCCTCCACTTCACCGTACATACTGTCCTCTCCCTAGAATTTTAATAGTCATTTGGGGATTTTTCTCGAAGTAAATCCCATTTTTTCGCAAATTTTTCCGGGCGTTTGCTATTCAAGTTAACACCTGGAATTTTTGAAAAACGGACCCATGTTTGGGGATTTCCATTAGAGCGGTACACCCCATATATCTTAACATATGAGTAAACCCCCCCCCCCCCCCTCAACCCGGAGCGTGCCAGCAAGTCACCCTTTTGACAGATGTGCACGTGCTTATCCAATCACATTGACGTTCGCGTTCTACCGGGTATCAATTCAACACCTGGGTGTATAGTGGAGCAATGTATATAAAATGCCATGATCAAGAAAAAAGTGCCGTGCCGGGGAATCGAACCTGTGACTTTTTCATTCCAAGTCAAGTGAAGAGACCACTCGTCTACGACACTTCTACAATAAATTTGTAACGATAATGAGGAATGGACACGAAAGATATTGGAAATAATTTTTAAAATGTAAATTCATTTCTCACAAAGTCAGCAATCTATTTAAATCCATTCACCTCCTTAGTCAAACAAACACGAATTCCTTGTTAATGCACTTGAAAAAACCTTTTCTTACCACAAACAATCCAACGCCTATTCTCTGTAATATAAAAGGAAGGAACATACCCTGTGCTGCAATGTATTTCTTGGGAGTCCTGTATCCCTGTGGAAACAAGGAAGAAACAAATATGACGCCTACCGAAAGGGCAGTTTTTCCAAAGTACAACTTATCTAAATTTAGACATTAGTAATCACGATGTAATCGAGATGTGACGGATGATTTTCGCTTCAGCTGACAAACGGCAGCTGTTTAAGAAAAAAACTTCATTCTTATTTTTTATAAACCTTTCTAGGACGTAGAAGAACCTTGAATTGAAATAATATGTGTTTTTTTTTTTAATAAAGGGCTTTTTCTATATAATTTCAGACTATCTATGTGATTTGACTATCTATGTAATTTGAGTACAAAAATCAAGAAATCCATGACATTTCTCATCACTTCTTCAAAAATAATGTTACTAATATCTGTAAGCAAAGTATTGAAAACCAGCGCTCACATCGATGAAAGAAGCGTTGATGTAGTCCGAGTGGGGATCGCCATGTACCACAGTGAGATTGACACGAGAATTATCGTCTGGAAAAAAATAAAAATAAAATAAAAATATGGTAGCCCTACTTTTTGTCTACTCTGACTCGTTATCTACTGGAATGGGAATATACATTTGAAGCAGTCATCTTAACAATCACTTTTTCTGCCTTGAATACAGAGGAAATTAATTGACGCTCAAAATGATGGAATCATATCTCTAAAGCTATACTGAACGGATGAATGTTCTGCCCTAGAAGGTCGTGAGACAATGGTAATTCCCAATTCGCATATTGGACCCGATGCGAGAACCAACAGCGCAGCTAGCTAGGGAAGCAGCGAGTTATTGGACTATAATGATATAGCTGACACGAGATGGGGCTTACTACAGTATAGAGGGGATTTTGCGCTAGTGCTTTTAGTACAGTATTGATTCAAAGGGTTATTTAATCACTACTTTCGAGTGAATTCTTTGTGTTTGCCAAGAGAATATATTATCGATGCTAACGCCATTCCGCCGTCAATCCATATTTTATCTTGAATTATTCGTTGAAAATTGCATAACTCACATGGTAAGATATTGATAAATCTGTTCTTTTCCTTGTTCTCTGCTTTTAGAGCGATATATTGTGGATGCAGCTTCTGTGATGGCAAACTCTGTGTATAGAATGATGCAGAAAAAGAAACGTGACGATAATTGATAATGACTAATTTCGATTAATGTATCCTTGCCTGTTTTAACATCTTTTTAAATTATACTTGACTCTCACTAAATTCTTGTACCAGGGTACCTTTCTCCTCTTTTTGCCCCCCCCCTCCCCCTTCTCTCCTACCCTTACTGTCTCATCATGTTGTATTCTGGGTTTGTGTGGAGCAAGGTGCAATTCCCCAATTATTCTGTCTGATAAAATTTACTTGATATTCTCCGCCCTCTCTGTTTTCCACATCCTATTTTATCAGTTCGGTTTTTGGCAAGACAGCTTTCCAAATGGTGCTAAATTGAATAAATCAGCAATTAATGGTATGCTGGCTATCTTTTACAAAGGTCTCACAGAATAATCGAATGAGGATATATTGACGATAATGTATTAATGTATCCAGCAATATACCTGTATACCAGGCTAATTACTTGTAAGATATTCAGACACGAAACATTCGTTCACGAGGGTGAAGAAGATACTAACAAAATTCAACCGGTCATAATTTTAGCTAAGTAATCAACGCGAGCTCTTATTTCAAGTTTCCGTCCCATCAAGGAAATGAATTACAATACTCTGTGAGGCTACAGAGATCACATCATGGTTAATATGTCCATTTAAGTGATTTTACCTCTTAAGGACAGGGTGTTTTACCTACTTCACTCCCACTGCCGTAATTTATTTTAGTTGCGCCCTTTTCGGCGAAGGAGTACATAAAGCAATATCCGATTCCTAAACCCAATCGTCCAAGCGTCATTGTGACACATGGCTTTCAACACATCGGCATATTGGGATCAGTAGATAGCAGTAAAAGTAAATCTGAAGCAGTGTCAGTAGAATACCCTTTACATACATTTCATTTATTTCATTGTATGAGATAGATTTGTGTCTAACGTGTGAAGTGAAAAAATATCTTAATAAAGCTAACCTTGAAATCATCATCCAAACTGTTCGAACCATCGGCGTTTCTTCTTGCCATGTATCCTAGAAGTTATTTCATTTATTTCATTGTATGTGATAGGTTTGTGTCTAACGTGTGAAGTGAACAAATATCTCAGTAAAGCTAACCTTGAAATCATCATCCAAACTGTTCGAACCCTCGGCGTTTCTTCTTGCCATGTATCCTAGAAGTTATTTCATTTATTTCATTGTATGTGATAGGTTTGTGTCTGACGTGTGAAGTGAACAAATATCTCAGTAAAGCTAACCTTGAAATCATCATCCAAACTGTTCGAACCCTCGGCGTTTCTTCTTGCCATGTATCCTAGAAGTTATTTCATTTATTTCATTGTATGTGATAGGTTTGTGTCTGACGTGTGAAGTGAACAAATATCTCAGTAAAGCTAACCTTGAAATCATCATCCAAACTGTTCGAACCCTCGGCGTTTCTTCTTGCCATGTATCCTAGAAGTTGTCCAACAGGAATCGCTCCATGTTTTGTGTCCTGAGCTGTCATATTCTCATAGATCTCAGATGACATATTGCTTTCCATTTCATGGTTGTACTCATGGTTATTTGTTTCGCTTACCCTACCTTTATCAAATAAGGAAATAAACAGAAGGTACTAATCATATACTGGTCACTGCACTATCCGTTTCAATCTAACGAATAACAGTGCCGCGAAAAGACGCGTCCGAAACGCAAAATGCATAATTCTTGAAAACCATACTTTTATTACGCAGAGGAAAAAATTGGTGTGATTGAAATATTGATATACAATTTTTCTGTAATTGGCAGTGCTGCTGCGTTTGGATTAAAAAGAGTGTATCCAATGGTGGTCAATGATGACATAATCGTTAAAAGAACTTGAATTAATGTTTGCTTCATTTTAGCGAGAAGACAATGGGGTGAAATGTAACTGTGTAATGTGAGTCTAAGAAAGAAATCCCCACCAGTATGAAACAAATATTAAATTCATGGGATATAATTTAAACAATAACAACTTTTCCAATGTGATTAATTGCTCGGATAATCAAAAAGAAGAAAAAAGGGATTATAAAACTGTTTAGAAATGATGACGATGATGGCATCTACAACCTTGAATTTTCAATCTATGAACAACTCCAACTAAATATAAAGATGAATTACGACGTAACATTTACTTTAAAGTTATAATATAAGTTATTAAGGAAATACTTTGGTCTAAATGGTAGTTGCTCACTTACAAGTAATCTCCATTTCCAATCCACCTCCATTCAGCTCTCTGAAATGAAAGATAACCAGTGCAAGGCCATTAGTTTTATCTTGGCATTGCAATGTTCAACATCATCATAATGAAATCATGAAATGAATCCCCACTCCAAAGAATTAGTGTAGGTATTTGAAAAATTAGTCGTATTCCTGCCCATAACTTAAAATATTCCTTACGAAAGTGTCCAAGAGATTTACAAGTGAAGATATTATTGGCATGATGTAATGCCTTTTGTCGATCTACCCCAAGTCTTTTCAGTAGCTAGGTTCGCCAAAGACCATGCCATGTGCAACATTATTGGATTTCGTCAGGAAGACCACCTGAATCCGTTTTCATTAATATCAGTTCCTGTCCAAGTGCATTAAAAAAAGCATCACACTAAACACACTTATCTATGGAAAAAAGAAAGGGATATTAAACATCCATTCGTAATACGACGGTCTTACTGTTCAGTGTGATCTCGATTGCGACTACTGGACATGGGAACTGATTTGTTGAGAGCCGTACCAGTTCTTCGTAGTGCATTTAGAATACCTTGCACCGAAAAGGATAACCGTTCAGGATTGAAGAGTGGTCTATTCGTTTTCCTATACACATAAATAAATGAACTTTGGTTAAAATTGTACAAGTATTTCGAAAGTCATATCGCAATAGCAGAAACCCTAATTATAGATTTCCACCTTTCACTGGTATCGCTAACATGTAATGTTTAACACACACTATTAAACATTAAATATTGAACATTATAATTTCAGATATCAATATAATAATTCTACACATGATACTTTTTATTGCTTATATTTTACGTTTCATATGCGTTTACAAAAAAAATTATGTGAATGACAGAAACCTATTCTTTATCTTTTCCTACTAGAAAACTTGATTAATGTTGAAAATACTCTCCTTATCTTTTTGTTTTTATTATACAAAACAGGTTTACTATTTTTAATTTGATAGGTTTCCTTGAAAAAAAAAATCATCCAATTTACAGTTTCCTTCTACTTTATGAATAAAATTGTACATTTTGATGATTTTTTTTATAGAGGGAAAATGTTGTCGTGAAAAAGAAGTCTTGATGAACGAAATTTGTATAAACTGAAGTTGTAAGAAAGTACCTAGAGTATAGGAGAGAAGCGATGACGAGTAAGAGCACAAAGATTAGGAGAAACATGCAGACGAGGACTGGTAACATCACTGCTTTTCTCGATGACGATTCTCGCACTGTAGTGAAGGTTTGGAGAAAGAAACAAATTCCTAAAAAAATCCTTAAAATGCCCTAAATTAGATAATAAATTCTTACGTTAAAACAATGTTTCTCTTTCTTTCCAGTTTTGGTTGATTTTTGTTTTGTTTTTGGAGGGGTTGCCCCTGAAATGAACAAAACGATGTAATATTTTATTATAACTGAAAGCCCTTCTCTACGCTAAACTTTTGGAGTAGATTTTTAAATCAGAGAGTCAATTAGTGTGGTCAAACAAAATGATAAATATTGTGTTTAACAATTCCCTCCATTTCCGTTAATGCTTGAAGAGCTGTCTAGGGATAAGATCAACAATATGCACCATCTTGCTTTTTCTCTAATTTTTTTTATTGAAACAAAATTCATCCAAAATTACATGAATATACTCATAAACCTCATTAATTATAGTAACACACGAGACTTTTGCAGTCACTGCCATTTCATTGTACCGGAGTGTTGGCTCAGTCAGTAGAGCGTCCGCCTCACAACCGGAGGTCGTGGGTTCGAACCCCGGCCGCGTCATAGCAAAAGACGTTAAAAGATGGGAGTTGTTGCTACCTTGTTTGGCGTCCAACAATAAAGGATAGAGCAACGTCGATCTGGCGCTACTCAGTGGCTGCCGGGCTCACGATCAATTGGGCAAAAAGAATTTCCGTTTCGGTTTAATAAAATTTGGAGTGGACTATTAGGCTATTATCATTATCATTATCATTATCATTATCATTATTATTACACGCCGAATTAGTGAAGTAACCTACCTTCCTCTGGCGTTTGAAATTGCAGAACGTGGCTTTTCTCCTCACCATATTTGTATACTGCAGTAACCTGTTGCTCAAATAGGTTTGCACAGGAAACAAAATTAAAAACAGGTAGATGATAATACAGTTACTAACGAGGTTGAAGTGTTGCGAGAGATAGGCCTATATCAATTACTTTTCTATTCATCTATCTCTACGGTATATGATTTAATATTTTTAACTAAGTTAACAAATACGTCGCATCTCCACATTGTTTAAAGTCCAATTTTTCAGCTCAATATCTTTTACTGCCACAAACATATTGGCCTGAATGACTTTCACAGAAGGTTAAGTATATCGAAGGATCTGTTTTTTGGTAAAGATTTTTATTTTAAAAGAAGACATTTGAGGAGGGGGAGGGGGGGGGGGGGAAGATTCCCTGATTTTCTTGTGGTGACAGTCTGGAAAATAAAATAGGAAACAGGTTGCTCTACAATTGCCCTGATATTGGACAAATATACAATATATAGCCTCCCTCCCGGGAAGTATGTCTGGGGTTTCAACAAACTGAGTCAACCGTTCTTCCCATATCTTTATCGGAGGTTGGAAAACATCATAATATTCAATAACTGTTATGTACTACGTAAGTACCATGTCTCAAATGCTTCTAGACTCTAGAGAGTTTCTTTTATAAGGCAATCGCATGTGACCAGAGCTCAATTTTATCTTTAAAGGAGGATTAAGATGTGAAAACTAGAAAGATAAAATTACAAATAAATTGAAATAGGACACGTATTACTAGAGCGTGGATGCTTTGATGGTTGGGTTGAAGTGTGGAGAACATGAGGGCAAAAGGGTGTATTTGTTAAAATAAAATGATAAAATTATTTGAAATGAAATAAAATAACAACAAAAATATAATAGCATAACAAATGAAATAAAAACAAAAATGAGACTAAAATGAAACAAATTAAAATGAAAACATCATCACCTGTATGGAATGATTGGTAGCAGGTTTGAGACCTGTTATGGCTGCTTCCATCAAACAGGTTGAAGCACAAACTTCTTCGTCATATGAAACGAAAATGCTTGTATTCTCTTGAAGTCCAGACTGCCAGCACGCAATTGTGTAGCCGATGGTGTTAAAGACAGAAGAATCTGGAGCAAGCCATTCAATTACAGCTGCAGTTTCATTCCATGATGTCACCACTACTTTTTTGGGAGGACGGTAGACTGGGAAGAGACATTTAAAACAATGCTAATTACTAATAAACATTTTAAACAAAATCATCTTTAGGGTAATTTCAATTACTTTTAAATATTGTTCAGAGAAATTATGCTAAGAACATGATGATCATGGCAACAAAGTAATGTTTAAAATAGTACCACTATTATTACTCTTCCTTCTTCTACTAGCCCTAACCATTCCTACATTTACGTACAAGAATTAGCAAGAAACACTGAGAGAGGAGTAACGACAAAATCAACCTCCAATTGAAGACAGTTTCTGTTCACTGGCTTCCCTTCCTCACATTTCATTTAACCATTCAAATGACTGCCTTCCCGTCTCACTTGGCGCCAATTTGGATATGAAAGAAGTTAGAGGCCAGGCTTTTGACAATGACCCTGCTCACTGTACGATCCCGCTGCGATTTTTCAAAGAAATCGCAACTGCAATGGAACTTCAAATAATATTCTTAATTAAGATTTTGAAACATATTAACATGTTGTAGCGTTTAGGATCCTACAGCTGGAATAAAGGTTAAACTCGCTAAATATCAAAGAAAAACCGGTAACTGGTTTTAAGTTCCGACACTTAGCCGATGTGGTTTCTCAACACTCAAGGAGGGTTGCATCATCTAAGAAAATAGCTTTAATGCCTTATACAACTTTCCATAACTCTACTCTTTTATTGAAAATTCATCTCAGTGCCCCGTCTTATAAAGAGTTGATGATAATCGGAACGTATTTGTGATCGATTGGAGGACTTACGATTGACTTGGATCAATCGCATCTCTTTATAAAGCGGGGCCCATGTTATGAAGATCACAGTCAGATTGATGTCAGAACTTGTAGTTTGCGATGGCTTGATTACTTACTAGGTAGGCTCGTGTGTGCCTCCACCGCTGGTCCGTAGTTTCCAGAGAGGTTGTCGTTGTTAGCTCGTACTCTAAAATAGTACATCGTAACTGGGATGAGATTAGTGAAAGTTATATCACCTCCGTTCTCGCTTGCATTTACACTTCCAAGTATCGAAACATTGCTCACGCTAGCGTTCAAAATGTACTCGTAGTGAGAGATTGGTCCATTCCTGTCTCCACATCGTGGCTTGTTCCAGGTGAATGTAAGACTACCATATGACTGATCTGAGCACTTGACTTTCTTTGGTGGTTTTGATGGAGCTAACAAAACAAAACAAAATAATAAAGCAGATAAAAGAAATTGATGAGAATTCCATTATCTCATTGAGGATCGAAGAATATCTCATGAAATCTCATACAACGATATGGAAAAAAGAGTATGAAATAAAACGGTCCTATCTGTGAAATTTAAACGTTAGCAGTGTCCTAATGTTCAAATTATGCAAGTAAACCCGTTTATTTGCTAGATTTCACTGTCAGACACTATTGAGTGACTGACTGGCTTTTTTTTCTTTGGTAATAACATACATAAAATTAGCTGTAAAGGGTACATGATCATTTGTCTACATCAATAACCCACTTCTTGTAATGGCCAAAATTAAACTGATTGAATCTGTGCGCAGCATAAAACGTACGGCCATTCGGTACAATGGTCTGAAAATCAGACTATTTCTTACTGGCTCTATAGCTCTTAAGTCGATTTGACAACTAATAGTCGTTATTTTCCCATTTAAAAACATTTTCAAGCCCCCCTTTTTTAAGGGTAGTTCTAAATTAGTATTATTTCAAATGCTTTTGGAATTTAACCCTTTCATTTGTTGGCCTGCAAATGAGACATAGTACCTTTAACAAAAGAAAAAAGGACCATGGGGATCAACGGGTACCGCTTAGGCATTGTTACCTATATAGAGGGTGCAAGTAGCTATAAGTAGCGCAGTCCTGCTTTAAAGCAAAAGATATTCAATGTTGTGATTTACAAAATAATGTAATTTTTGTAAAAACAAGAGGGAACATAATATTGTAACAATGCAGATATTCTCTCGTTATTTAATGTTCCATACGTCACAGGATTACATTATATGAATTTTACCTTCGTGACCTGTAGTAAAGTTCACGCATGTCGGTTCTCCGTCGCCTGCTGCGTTCGTTCCCAAAACACAAACTTGGTATTGTGAGTAGGAGATTAATCCTTGGATGGTTTTGCGCATCAAATGGGAATCAACATCAACAATTCTGTTTTCTTTAGTTGCATCACTTGGTATCTCACACATGTCTTTGTAGAGGAGTTTGTGGGTGACGTCGTACCCTTCGGGTTCACAGGGAAGATCGGTGGGTGCTTCCCAGGTAACAGTGTCAGAACCCTGGCTTAATATGCGGACGTTCCTTGGCATACCTGGAGCTGTGAGATCCAATAAATCCATAACAATTTAGAATATGAATGTAGAGAATGACGAACTTACTGACAAAGAGAGACGGGGCAAAATATGAAGAGTGATAGAGAGGGGAGAAAAAAAAAGGCAGCTGAATGCCGAGGCCAGAAGAAAGGAACCTTATCACACCCTCTCCTAATAGACCTTGATTCAAATTTCACTCACCAAATAATATGTTCCACCTGTAAATAAGTTTCTAAAATTGATCACTTATTCGGACTGTTTGTTATGTGAAGTAGCCATTTTTCATGATCTACTTTCGTTATGTAAAAAAAAAATCGGTAAATATTGTCATTTTGGATATAAGGGTTTGATGAAAAATCATACCTCGAGTAGGTGCCTGTGCATTGACTGTATCCCAGCCTCGTTGTAGGTAATCTCTCGTGACCACTTGTACTTGAAACCTGTACATGGTGCAGGCTTGTAATGTATCCATCATGTATGTCTTCTGCATGACTGCTGTACACTCTCCATGATTCACAATCTCTTCAGTGTTGTCTCGCATGAGCCGGTAGTTGAAGCATCGGTAAGAACCATGAAGATCTGCACAGTGAGGCCGCCTCCATGAAAATGAGAACCCGTCATCATTCTGGGTATGTGATAGGTCTCGGACGCCACTAGGATCTATCCGGATAGATTATAATGATAATCATAATGATAATAATATTAGTGATAATAGTAATGATAATAATAGTAATAATAGCTATTAGATACCTCTCTTTAGTTTGTTGCATAAATCTAGTCATCTGATTGGTCAAAATTGGAGTCATGAGTTTAGCCATGCCCGCATACCGGCCAATAGTTTATTAAAACATGCCCAGTGCTCCGCGTAACGGGCCGCATAAATACATTTTGCTGAGATCCCCATTGGTTTATACGTGTAAACAGTTTCTTTGTGCGAGTGCACACATAACATCAATGACTTGCCGAAAGTCAGACTCTTCACTGATGACAAAGTTGTGTACTATACCATCCAGACACCTAAGGATGCAGAATTGCTACAGCAGGATCAAGCAAGTGGATGATGGCACTAAATCCAAGGAAATGCACGGTCATAACTGTCCCCAGAGGAAGAGGACCAAGTATGTCCATCAGTATTCCCTCAATTGAGAAATCTGGGAGTCTGTGTCAGTTGCCAAATACCTTGGCATTTCTCTCACTGCTGACCTCAACTGGACTCAGCATGTATCTGCCACCTGCAAGAAGGCAAACAACACCCTAACCTTTCTTAGAAGGAACCTGGCATGCGTGTCAACTCCACTCAGCTCTAGTGCATACCAGGCTCTCATTCGCCCTCTTCCTAAGTATGGGAGTGCTGTCTGGGATATACACACCATCAGATGTCTAATCCAGTTGGAGATGGTCCAGAAACGAGCAGTGAGATATGTTCTCAACCGCTATCATCATACATCTAGCGTCTCTGACATGCTGAGTCAACTTGGATGGACCTCCCTTCGGAAGAGAAGAGAGCATCAACGTTTTCACCTTACTGAACAAGATGCACTTCTCACTGGTTGACTTTGACATCCACCACCAGACACTACATCCGACCGGCAACAGTCGTAACAACTACATGATCGTCTCGTCCTAATCACTCCTTCTTTCCTCGCACTGTTCGACAGTGGAACGCCCTCTCTCTTGAAGTTGTCCTGGCTTCGTCAGTGGAAGCCTTCCAGTGAAAACTAAAGACGGACGGGAAGTAAATTCCGGCGACATTTTTGCTGGCACTATGTATACACACCTTTCACCTGCAGACCTTGGCATCTCCATGAAGCCACACACATTTGCAAGAATCTTCAGCAGTGAAAGAGGCAGATCCTTCTAAAGAAGAAGACGAAGGATGCCATACAGTGCTTTTTGTCTGCGATTCCTGAATGATCGGAACATTCAGGCAACTTTCCAGCGAAGATTTACAGACAGTGTCTCATATTGTGTGTGATGTTTTAATCAGTCTTTACTCAAGAAAAGGGTAAGGTAAGAATTCTTTGTGGATTTGTTTGTGAAATCGGTATATAAATATATATGGACTGCTTTGATATTCGAGGCAAAGCTGTTTCTTTACTGGCTTTCGGGGACATTACATCCTGATATGACCCCTTGAACCTATAGAAACAGCGATGCCTCTCATAGCAGTCAATATATCTATACAATAATGTTTTAAACAATAATAATAAAAACTAGACTTTAATTCGTCACTTTGACGAATTAGGTGATACGTGCTATTTTGTTATCATGAAAGTGTGCCGATGATGATCTAATGATAATGATCATAAATACGATAAAGACCATGATTAAGAGTGGTATAGCGCCCCCTTCAGGTATTCAATTGAGGATTGTTGTATATGATAACTGTTAACTATTACCAGGGAGAGTGCCCTGCTATTACTAACAAAAAATCGCCTGATTGCAGAGAAATACTTATACCAATCATTGAAGTGATATTTCGACGCGCTAAATACGCAACAATGACGTCATTAGAGCTGATTATGACTAATAAGGACTATATCTAAATTAAGTTTCTTGCATGCTTATTGACCGTTCTGTATTGGAAAGAAAGATCTATCGTTTGAATAACGTGTCGACACACTGTGGATGTGAATGCTTTCGTGTGCCATCTGTCAAGTCTTGAGATAACATGAAAATAAAGTTTATTAACACTTAAAACAAAATTAAAACATGTATACAGTGATTTATTTAGTCCTGATTCAATTAATATGATTAAGATATTAATATTTTACCCATCATAACCCAACAGCTATAAGATGTTAAATCTAGAAATAATTGTTAGTATGCATGGCAGTGAATGGTCAAACGATAGAAATTGGTTCAAATTTCCTTTGATTTGATTTGTGTACATGTAATAAACTAATAAATGAGACACTGAAATGATGCAGAGAGGGGAGATACAATAAAGAAAGAGAGAGGCAGATCGAGACAGAGGAAGACAGACCAAGACAGAAAGAGGAAGGCAGCTAGGCATCTCACCCTTCTCCTTTCTTCTCAATCCTCTTTTCCCTCTTTCTTCTTCTACTTTTACTTCTAATAATTCCGAATGTTTTTTTATATTGTATTTTACATGTGTAAAACATTGCAAATTTGGCTGTTTAGGCCGCAATGCATTGTTGTTCTTTTATTTTTATTAACAATAAAAACACTATCATTTCATTTTAATACTAGGACACTGCTAACGATAACATTTCAAAAATAGGACATACGTGACATATTCATAATTACCGCAAAGTTCTACAGAATTTGCAATTCCAACTTTTGATTGAAAATTTCGACGAGATATCAACATCTGATCAAAAAACTAAAAAGCACCGTTTTTATAGCCCATGGTCTCAGCTATAACATACCCAAATTTGGGAGAAAACAGAGCACAAATGAGCGAGATAGTGCTGAAAGATGGATGTGATGTAGATTCATAGTGTGGACAAAATTCACCCTCCATAGACATAACACGCAAATGACGAAAATTCTGACATGTGGCCTTAAATTGAATTTTGTACTAGGATGACATCATTTAAATGAAATTGGTGTAAACCGATCTCGAAGGCGATTGCCTCGACTACAACATATTAAAATCTAGAAGAGAATCGATGAATATTAAGAGAAATACACTAAATTTTCCATAAACATAATGACGTCATAATATGCATTTTTGTATTTTTGACTTCCAAAGCCATTATGATGACGTCAAGATGTACTTAATGGCCAAATGAGATATGCAATCATACCTTCGACTCATACTCTATCTAAATATGGAAAAAAAATTGGCAGTCCTTATTCATATCAATGGACTTTTTATGGGCATGTTTTTGCCCATAAACGCTATGTAATACAAAAATCGCGCGTGCGGACGGTTATCTTGAACGGACGCTCGTTCCGTTATTAATAGTGATAAAGAGATAAACTTGGTATCAAATTGTTCGGAAATTATGAGGAATATCCTGTCAAAAGTTTTTGCGGAGGAATTATTTTTCGTTCGGCCGTGACGAACGAAAACGTCCAAAAATGCGTGTTTTGCGCGATTTTTTATGAAATGCTTATAATGGCCTGAAACGTATGCAAAAAAAATTTAAGACGATTTTGAGCAATTTTAAATTTTACGCGCGCATTAACGCGCGCACCTACGCGTACGCGCATTTTTGCGCGCATTTATTGATCTGAAATTGGCCCGACAAATATTGACCTTCATCATGACAAATATGAATGAGAAATGGCTTTCTGTTATGAAGATATGATCATAAGTTGATTTTCACAAAATGGCGCCTGGATGACGTCACGATGATTTTGAGTCTTTGAAAAGTCACGCAGTTCTAAGTTAGACTAATATCTATCATCATTACAAGTTTCATGATAATAGCTTTATTCACTCTTGAGATATCTTGCGAACAAATTCGAGGAAGAATAATAATAAAAATAAATAATAAATAATAAATAATAAAGAAAAATCTTGACGAAATCAAAAGGTGATACGTCTACGTACGTATCACCTAATAACAGTGATAATAGTAAAACAAAATAGTGATGATGATGTTATTATTAAGAATATTAATATCAACAAAAATAATAAGAATATTATGCATTTGATACAGCTCACGGTGTGTTTTTAACTCTATTGGTTTCCACAGTGGAGATGAATTACATCTCTTCATTGATCGAGCTTTTTTGACAAAGCCGTCAGATTTCGTTTGAATATATAACATATGGAAAAGAGTGAGTAAAGATATTATGAGTACAGAACAAGATATATCATAAAAAGAAGAGCAGTAGCAACATGAACATACCTTATCTCATGTTTATCTAACAATTCATCCACTTGAATGTTAATTCATGTGTGTATAGTGTACGTACATGCAATTATGTGCAAGTAGTTTATAGTGACGTAATATTAAAATCCTGTGACCCTTCCTTAAACACATTAAAAAGACTTTGAAACGTGTTCATATTTTGGATTGAAATAAATTTGAATTTTGGTAAATTAAAGTTACCAGGTTGATCAATAGTATATCTTAAAAAGTTACCTAAATTCTTGAAAGATTTGTACACCGTATATATATATATATATACACACAAAATGATTTGATTTGGAAATTACTCCGAACCGGTTATACAGTTGGCAAACCCTTGACATCTTCAATTTCCTATTACCGGTTTCAATTTATTTTGGCAGAGAGATAATTGGAAATTGCAAATTACAAACTAGTGCAACAAACTATTATACGAAATGTTCGTAGAAGCGCATAAATGGCGAGTTGTTTGAAAATATATATTTGTATGTGTGCGTGTGTGTGTGTGTTTCTTTGCACGTATGGGAGAGCACGGTAATAATGGTCACATAATAAATCAGGTCAGAACAATAGGATCATGGCCTTCTTCATAATTATTTTTTTAATTTGCTAAAGTAAACAAAATGCAATAAATTAACAGCAATGAGCAAAACAACAAATGAAATACACACCAGAACAAAAGCGTTATAAATTTGAATCCGAGAAGTTTTACATTCGGGTCTACTGTCCCAATCTTATTCTTATGTTGATTTACTGCTTTTGTAATTAATTTGTTCGTCTAGCTCCAATTTGTTGTTTGGCTTATTCCTGTTTATTATATTG